CGATAGACCAATCTACTTCGAGTGTAAACTAAACGAGCCAATGCACATTGGCATGCAATTATTGCATCCAGCTGCCGCTGATCACAGCGTGAGTATAAGTAGGCAGCAGATGCAGCGCATATTCAGGTTTTCGCTGAGGAGCCGAGCCGGCGACCCGGCCGCTCAGCGGTGGTACAGCAACCGTGGCGACGGGACGTGACGTCTCCGTTCCCTCCTTCAGGGAACGAGGGTTACATACGTAACCGAGACGTTCCCTGAGATAAGGGAACGAGCGTTGCATTGAACGCTTATGGGGAAACTCCTGTTTACTCTGATACTGAAGCCTGATTTGTTCACTGCCTCCGCGACCTTCGTAAAGACACGGGGAGACAGGGACAGCCCGAAGGGCAGGACCTTGTACTGATATGCCCGTCCTTCGAACGCAAACCGCAGAAATGGTCTGTGGCGTGGAAGGATCGACACATGAAAGTACGCGTCCTTCAGGTCGATCGCTGCAAACCAATCTCGGGGATGGACGCACCCGAAGATGCGTTTCTGCGTCAACATCTTGAACGGTAGCCGATGAAGGGCCTGGTTCAAAACTCGCAGGTCCAAGATTGGCCGTAACCCACCGCCTTTCTTGGGTACAATGAAGTAAGGGCTGTAAAACCCCGACCTCATATCGGCTGGAGGGACCGGCTCTATCGCATCCTTCGCCAGTAGGACTGCGATCTCTGCCCGTAGAACATGGTCATCGGCCGCCTTCACTGTAGTGAAGCGGATACCGCTGAACTGGGCGGGCGCCGGGTGAACTGAATCGCATAGCCGAGGCTGATGGTTCGCAGAAGCCAGCGAGACGGGCTGGGTAGCGCTGACCAAGCGCCCAGAAACCGTACAAGCGGGACCAGCGGGACCACAGCCGTACCCGCAGTGGGGCAGCGAGGTGGAACACAGGGACCCAGCTCGGGCGGCTTGTGAGCGGGCCGGAGAGGGGTGTGAGTGTGGGGTGCAAGACTCACCTGGTTCCACGGGTTGGCAGAGGGTGCGTGAGTAGGGCCTTTGTTGACGCAATTGCATGCCAATGTGCATTGGCTCGTTTAGTTTACACTCGAAGTAGATTGGTCTATCGAAGCGATATCCCAATTCGTCGGTCACGACGTGACTCGTAGTGACCGACTGAAAGGGAACTAATGGGACCATACTGTAAAGTGTATTGTAAACCATGTTTTTTGATGAAGGACATTCAGAGGATGAATTGTAATCTCAGAAATGGTAGATCAGGTGAGCTCTGGGTCCACATCACTGTCAAGTTCTGGATTCTGCTTGGTTGCACTTGAGATTCCATTAGGAGCTGAATAAGTTTAAGGTCAATAACCAGGTTCATGCGGAGTCAGCGCAGTAAACTGCACTAAAACCTCAGCAGATTAAAAAATGTATAAGAATAAAATAGGCCAAAACTGTGTCATTATTTACTCAACCACATATCGTTCCAAACCCCTATGCTGTTATGTCTGCAGTGGCACACAGTCTCTCAAATCGAACACACCATCAAACGTCATTACTGCCCTACAAAGGCAAAAGACCTTAACTCACTAGAGTGTGAAAAATTACTTTTTAAAGATTTTTATTTGTCCAGACAAATTAATTATAGGTAGGACACTGGAAATCTGGCAGTTAGATGTTTTAGTAATGAATATTATCTAAAATAAAAAATGTTGAGCTCAAACTTGATTTTTACTCCTATTTTGAAGTTACTGTACTCTGCCTTTGCATTGTCAGCAAAAAGTGAGAAGTCACGGCAAGGCAAAAGGCAGTAACGGCCATATTATATACAATATTTGGTTGCTGATCACCATTAAAATCTAGTGATCGCGGGCTGTCTCATATGCTATAACATACAGTAATGTGAATGTATTAAATAGTTTTTTTTGATCGTAACAACCAGACAAAAAGTTAAAGGGGTCCTATTATGCTCTTTTACAAAGTCTTGATTTTGTTTTGGGGGTGTACTAGAACAGGCTCTCATACTAGGTTGTTCGAAAAACACATTATTTTTCACATATTTTACATTTTTACAACACCTGGCATGAATGGCTCGAATAGCTCCTGTATCAAATGAAGGCCCGCCTGCTGAAAGACGAAATGTGCTGTGATTGGTTAGCAAGGCCAGTGTGTGTTGTGATTGGCACCACTCGGCGCCTGGTCGGGAAATG